AAAATCATTTCTAGCTGACGTTCCTAAAATGTAAATGGACCTAAGAGCAGACCACAGCAACCTCCTAGATGAAGAACTACTCAGCAACACAAAGGCAGACAAGCAATGGGTCTCTGTTATGAAGAGCTGGACCAGGACCTGGCATAACTCACACCTACTGGCTGAAGATGCTAGTAGCCCTCCATGAATACCTGACAGCACATATCAGGGTTTTGCTAACAACAGGTACTAATTTAGGAGTGGAGTGGCCATCAGCCACTTCCCTGGGTCTGTGTGGCTTCTCTGGGTACTCAGGCTTCTTCCCTCCAACCAAAGACATGCACAGCATTAGGTTAATTAGTGATTTTAAACTGACCATAGGTGTGTATGGTTGTCTGTCTCTATGTGTTTACCCTGCGCCCTTTTTCTAGTTGCTGGACAGTTCAAAAACCCCTGTGACAAGAAGATCAAGGAAACTGTTCACCCCTACCGGGACCCCACCCTGGAGCCAGGCCTAGGGTGCCTAGGCCTTAGTCTATGTGGCCAGGCAAGGCACAGAAAAAAAAAAAAATACATAAATCAGTACCTTTTCAGGTCAAAAATGTAACTAAAGACAAATTTGGTAGATATTTGATCATCCAGGGATTACTTGTACAAGAAACCATTAACTAGTGATATGATGTAATGAAGATAAAGGTAACTTTTGGCATTGTATTTGGGATTGCAGGGAGATAGGCTCTTTTTGGGTTGCAGTAACACAAACTATGAAACAAATATTATCCAAAGAGGTTGTTTTGGATCCTGGCTTCCTTATTCTGGGATTGTACCCAGAAAACATGAGGTACACAAAAAGTGACAGAATGTTTATTGATATGGGTTTGTTACAAGCAAAAAGATTAATCGCACTAAAATGGAAAAGAACAAGGGAACCGAATATCACACAGTGGATAAAACAAATGATGGTGGCTTTGCCATTGGAACGGATAACATTGTATACTGAAAAGGAAATTGGATGTTTTTGAGAAGGTGTGGAGACCATTTGTGAATTTTGTAGAAGGATTTGTATTATCTGAGGAGGACGAGGACTGAGGGCAATGACATTTGATTTGGGATAATGATAAATTTAGGCCTTTAACGGAGTGATAAATCTGATGACTTTCTTGTTTTCTTTTTGCTGTCTGAGAGGAGTGTATGTTCATGTAGTATTTAGAATGTTGGACTGTTTGTAAGTCATTAAAATGTAAAAATATAATAAAGATATTGTTGGAAAAAAGATTAACACAGAAAAGAAAATGTAACGAAGTGATTTTGAAGTTTAAAGTTTGTTTTAAATTATGGATGTGGAAAAGTCAGACAGCTAGAGAGAGGAGGATAAAGTGTGAGAGGGCATGGGCTGATTAGATGTTAACAGTGTGACTGGATGTCCCCATGTTTGAGGCCAGATGCCCTCTCCGAAGGTGTGACACCCAGTGAGAAAGTAGGAAGTTGGAGGAAGTTCTTGGTGAAAGTGAATCTGGCTGCTGTCGACTCCTCCGTGGACATGAAAGACCCAGCTGTGATGGAGTCTGTCATGAATTCGGTAACTTATGTTAACAAATCTTAGTAAAGTGTCTATACTGCTTTTTAAGGAAAAAACCTTACAGATGTTTTTAAGACAGTCTTAGATGATTAATATTCCCAGAAAAAAATGCTTTATTTGCTTTTTTCTGTGTCTCTTTCATGTCAAATTTCATTTAAAATGTAACTATAACAGATTATAATTTGTGGTGTAATCAGTAAATTCTCTTTTCTGTTGTGCAGATCAAAAATGAGTTGAGAGGTACGGCTGACGACCTAAAAGTGAGCTGGTGGAAACGTCCAGAAAAGAAAGATATCAAAAAACAAGAGGCGTGTACTCCATAGTTTACACTGTTTGTTTCAATAGCTGGATAAAGGCGGCTTACAGCCTGTAAAACTGATGTGATTCATTTAATCTTTACTTTTCACATGATATCTGTGTGACTGCTTGCTTTCTGTTGTGGTTCATAATCTCTCTCGTTTGATGACTTATTTCTCTGATGATTTTCCAAAGAAGACGAGCTCTGTTGGTGCCTTCAGAGAAATATTACAGTCAAATATGAAATTTAACATTTGCTTTGAATTGAGGTCAAGTGAAGAGATTTTCAAGGTAAGGAAGTTATATTTCCCTGTGGTTTGCATCATGAAAAACAATATGGAAATATGTCTTCCTTGCCCATAATGAATTGTTCTTTGTCTCTCACAAAGTTAAATTCAAACCAATTTATCTGAGATGTTTTGAAGTGACTGATAAATTTCATCCGTGTGTTTTACCAGGACGCATTTCACATCAAACCTGCATATTAACTGAAGCTTCAAATATTTTTGTCTATGTTAGTGAAAAAAGCATTTCTTTTTAATTCTTGGTTTTATTGCATAATGAATTTACATTGCATGATCGCTTGAGTTAACCTACTCTTCCCTTTTCCGTGGTTTTATTTCATGAGTGTTCTGAGATGTGCATTACTGCGCAAAAGTCTTTGGCCATCCCTTCTTTTTTATATTTTGTGTGAGAAATGGAAGATAGAATCATTTAATTAAAACGTGCAAAACTCTATATATAGATGCATTTTTGCTTGAATAATTAATACCAGTGTTATGTGGCTTATCAAATAAAAAACAAAAATCAAAAGCATTCCACTGGAAATGGTCTGGTTGAAGGGCTGGATTGAAAATAAATGAAAAAGCAGCCAATTTCCAGAGAATAACTCAGAAAGCCTTGAAAACTGTTGCTCAAGAGCACTTTAAAAATTAGAAGAAAGTCTGTTTCCTTGGAAGTAATATAGAGAAATGAGGGGTGACTACACTTTTTTCACAGCACTGTAATTATGTTTTGTTTAGTTGGTTGAATTTATATGTGTCTTGAATGCTGTAGCCATGTTACTAACACTATTATAAATCATCAATAATGTATCATTATTATGTGTGAGAATAAAAGGTTCTTGATTCAAAAATACTCGGTGAGCCTTTTGTGTTACTCCAGTTGCAGCCTGCGACCACTAGAAGCAACAGAGTCTTGTTTCCCCGCTTAAGACGGTTGTACGCATGCTCGTACGTCAGGAAGGAAGGAGTATCCTCTCTCCAAGATGGCAGCGATCATAGACAACAGCAATGCCGTAGGGGCGACAAAGAGAAAGCACCTCGGTATCCCAGAAGCGGTTTTTGTGGTGGGTAAACCCGGACATTTCTCGCAGTGTCGCTGGTTTGACTTGTTATTACTCCGCTGAAGACACACTTGTAGCTGTAGCTTCCGGTGTGCGGGTGCAGCATGCTGGCTAACAGCTAAGCTAACAGATAATCCTGCTGTGTGTGCAGGCTGGGCGGCAGCTCGTTTCCATCTATGGACATCACTGCATTATTGTCACTATGCCTCGTTTCCTCTTTAGGCTTTAGGTCAGTTCATCCAGCCACACATCAGTCTAACTGGAGGCTGCTTTGGTGACATTAGCCTCATCCGTGCATAATCAGGCAGTAAGATGAGCACATTTAGATTTAAGGTGTGTAGTGAATACGTCCGAACATGTATGAGCTACTGCTCTCAGGTGTCCTGTCTCCTGACAGTTGCAAATACAGCAGAAAGTTAAGCGTCACGTGATCTGCAGGTTATTTTTCTCCTTTAGGATGGGCATTACATCACAGGGCCCACTGCCGTGTCTTCAACGTGTTTGTTTCATGAGGTTAGCAGTTCAAAGCTCCACCGAAACTAGAAAATATTGATCTTCATTTACTTAGAAGCACCTTAGGTGATTAGTTTTCAGTAATTCATCACTTAATTTCACTGCTAATCTTCACTCATGTATGTCCTTTGGCCTTTGCTGAGCAAATACAGACAATTAAAACTAGAGTTGGTCTGTCGATTACAGGTTGAGTCACACATATACCTACATGCATGTGCATGTCAGAGCACAGTGCAGATTAATGTAGTCTCCATCGCCACCTGTCAGCCACCACGTCCAGCTTTGCTTCCTGGATGTGTAATCTCTCTGTTTCTGCTCCCTCTATCCCTCACTCACCTGTAAGGAGCACATGTACATTTCTAATCAAAAGCTGAACATCAGATTCACAGATATTATAAATGTGATTTTAAAATGTGTTTGTTTCAGATTTTTATGGTGGAAACAGTTTGAGCTGTTGCAAGTCCCAACAGATCTTTGACAATAAAAGCCTCGTCAAGAAATGAAGTGTTTCTGACCAGTAAGAGTCTAAGAGGTCTTTAATTTGAAAGACATGGTACTATGAGATCTTTAAGATACATGGGGCCCGATTATTAAACATCTTGACAGTGTAATAAAGTAATTTCTAAAGTTATAATGTTGTTCTTTCTGTAGAGTTGCCTTTTATTTGTCCTCATTGACGTCCAAATCACCAGCTATTCCATAACGTACAATGTTTTTTGTTACAGAAGAGTTGATGTCATAAGTTTCTTAACATTAACTTACTGAAAACGTGGCACGAAGATGCCGTTCGAAAAATTAATTCTAAAATGATTCTGCAATTTGTAGACTGTTGAGCCTCTGCCTGTATTTAACCCTGAGGAAATCTGCCTCTCCAAAATGCTTCTTTTATACCCAACCTTGTGACTGACGTGTTGCCAGTTAACCTAATTAGTTGGAAAACTTTCTTTCTAGTACCACTATTGCTGCCCTCATCCCAACTGTTTTGGAATTGAGGTAGTACATAATCTCTCCAGCGTGTGCTGGTGCCCAAATCACCTCGCTAATGAGGCATCCCAATCTGATGCCTAAACCAGCTCAACTATTTGCTTTCTGGTTTATTGTTATAGTTTAGTTCATTGTTAGTTAATCTTGCTTAATGCTTTCTTTCTCTCTTGCCTGGATTTTCAGGAGGATGTCGACTCTTTTATGAAGCAACCCGGCAATGAGACGGCGGACGCGGTGCTGAGGAGGCTGGACGAACAGTACCAGAAATACAAATACATGGAGCTCAACCTGTCTCAGAAGAAACTCAGGTGACACCAGTGAAGGAACACTTAACCTTGTTGTTATTGGCTTATACAGAGTTTGACAGAGGTCATTAGAGTTTGGTGTTAATATGGGACATCATCAGCTGGTGGACATAATTTCTGAGTGATAATCAAAGATTTGGACAGATATTAAAGACATTTAGTGAGCTATTTAAAGGAGAGCATCAGCAGAATTTAGAAGAATAAGGACACACTCCACGCATGCTTCATAATAACATCCAAATCACATCTCTTTGCTCGCAGGTTGAAAAACCAGATCCCTCAAATCAGACAAACGCTAGAAATCCTACGACACATGCAGAAGAAGAAGGTGCGTACGGTTGTTGTGAACAAACTTTAAAATGTTACCATTGTGTGACACCAGTGTAATTATGTGTTGAGCCTGTTGTAATTTGACTTGATGTTAAGTGAATCAAACAAATAATGGTTTGTATTCATTTATAGGGATGCCTGTCAGGTCAAAGGTTATTTCTGTAGCACATTTTAAACAACCTCAGTTGACCAAAGTGCTGTAGAATTTATACGAAATGTACACTGTATACAACAGTCGCAAAATCAACAATAAGTATACACAGAAAAAATCTAAAACAAGTAAATTAGACTGCATTTGCATGATTAAAGACAGAGTACTCTGCTCAACTAGACTCAAAAGCAAGTGAGAACAAATGGGCAGCTAAAAGTTCTGTATCCACTGAGACTCTTAAAGCAACTGGATACTGAAATCGACTGGAAGCCGGTTTAAGGCGGCCAGTACAGGTGTAATGTGATCGATCAAAGTGAGCTGCTGCATTTTGTACAGCTTGTTTGATCAGAGCTAACATATAAGAGTTACAACAGTCTAGACGAGAGGTAATAGAAATGTCAAATATCACACCAAGGTTCCTTACAGGTTAGAGGTTAAGAGACCAATGGCACTGTCATACCCATCTAACAGGTTGGACTGTCCAATTAAAATAATTTCTGTTTCGCTTTTGTTCAGATTAATGAAGTTTATCTCCAACCATGATTGTATATCTGAGACAGTTCACCAGTGCCTGAATAGAAGCGTAGCTGCTGGTTTGTATAGGCGATGACCTACATAGCTGTAGGTTATCTGCAAAGCAATGAATAGAGATGTGGAAATGAAAGAAGATAGTGGGCCCCAGCACAGAACCCTGAGGTACCCGACAACTAAGTGTGGACACAGAGGAAACTCCTGTGTTGCAGATGTGACTGTATCCATTTAAGGGCTGTACGTTTAATACCAACACACAAGCCGTGACAGAAGAAATGCCATCGTCTACAGAGACGCATCATATCGTCCATGATAACAACAGTATAGATTTTTATGCAATACAAAAATATTATCCTAGGATATCGTTGCTATAGCAACGCAATGCTTTTAAGTCCCCTAGTGAAAACGAGAACTGAGTGTCAGCATATATAAATTTTAAAAAGATCTACTTCAACAATAGAATAAAATAGAATAGCCCTTTATTGTATGTGTACAACGAAACTGTGGAAACCTCAAACAAAGCACAATACTGTGCAGAGTACGCAAGAAAACTGTCGCTGCTGAAGGTGGAAACCACAAACATGTTTCATCACTTCATGCAAAATCATACTATTGAGTACAGACATGTTACAAAGAAGGAGATACTATATATAAACAAATGGCTCAACCAAGTGTTGCTAACTGCTCTCCATATGAAAAAGGCAGAGGAAGCAGTGGCTGGAAATGACTGATGTTGTAACTTTGTGGAAAAGCAGAGCTTTAAGCAGCTGGTGAAAACGCTTGATCCAAGTCAAAAAGTCCCATGTAGAAAGTATTTTTAGCTTTACTGTGTGACAATGTTGTGCAGCTGCTGGAAATATTACACGGCTAAGTTACTTTAATTATTGTTAAACTAAAGATTGAAGCAATCATACTGCACTTTACATCCTTACATCACACATCAGCTCTACTGTTTACAAATGATCCAACGTGGTATTGATTATGTAAATTTCAAAGCCAAAATCTTAGCTGTTTCAAACATGACTTCATCAGTTCAAAAATTATGTAATTCAGTGTATAAAAATGTGTCTTGTTAAAAAAAATAATACTGTTTTTTTTTTTTTTTAAAAGGACCAATCTGCACATATTTTATTACACTTGGTTAAATAATGAGCCAATAACTTAATATTTTATCACATTATCAATCAGGCCACTTAACACAGAAATAACTAAATCTTTTAGTGTTTGACTAAACCACAGAGACTTCTTCATTTAACTGTGAGATTGTCGAGTTCAAAGCGGTGGTGATGCTTGAAGGTCAGCCAAAGTTAAAGTGTGTGGCAGAGAAATTGATAATGAAGAACCTTTAACCAGGTTTGCTTTCCTTCAGGAAACCACAGAGCCAATGGAGACACACTTCCTGTTGGCTGACAATGTTTACTGCAAGGCGTCAGTGCCACCCACTGACAAAGTCTGCCTATGGTTAGGGGTAAGTATTCTCAGTGAGCATTTTATTTCAAGGATAAAGCCAAAAAGTAATGAATCAAAAAGGGCTGTCTTGTGGACCTTATTCATAGAAGAGTTAATTAGATGAAGCTTAGCGTTTCCAGCGTTTCCCTTTTTTTCCCCACCCTGACATTTTCTCCTCACAGGCAAACGTCATGTTAGAGTACGACATCGATGAAGCTCAGGCTCTGCTAGAGAAGAACCTCTCCACGGCGTCTCGCAACCTGGAGACGCTCGAGGAGGATCTGGACTTCCTGCGAGACCAGTTCACCACCACTGAAGTCAGTATCCTTCCGCAGCGTAGCCCGCCCAGGCGGAGGTTACACCACTGATGGCACTGACAAAGCTCTCTGAAGCAAATACGGTTCACTTTTCAGTGAAAAACAGCGACATCTAGTGGCCAAACTACTGGTTTTCCATTTGTGTGAGTGGAGGGCATGACCTCACACTGTACTGCTGGTGTTGTTTCAGTGCAGCTTATTACACACAGGATTTCAGTTGTTATTTGGAAA